CAAATTCTTAGAATTTGCCCTGTGGGTCCCGCATGTTTGTTTTACGTGGCGAGTTTTCATTCGATTAATTTCAGATCCTTATTTATTTTTAGATTTAATAAATTTCATTTTCTGGCACGCATCTGGCTGCCTGCCTGGCACCACTAGAGACCGCTCATCACGGGATCGTCCTGATTTCCGATTTTTTTTAAAAATAATTTAACTAATACTCCTTCCGTTTCTTATTATAAGAGACATTTGATATTTATGGCATGTTCCTATATATAAGAGACACTTAAAAGTTGTCTTTACTTTTTTGTGTTAATTTTCTGTTTTATCCATATTTATTGTCTCCAACTCACATTCTCTCTCCCTCCACTCTCTTTCTTTCAATAATTTAATTGTTCTCTCTCATGTTCTCTCTCCTTATTAATGAGCGTATTTTTAAAAAAAAAATTATAATTTTTACATATTGATTATTCTTAACTAATTTTAACTATTTTTTTATCAACCTAATTCGGTTATTTATCTCTTATAATAATAAAAAAGGAGGGAGTAATGTTTTATATTCTCTCAGACTCTGCTTTTCATGACCTATCATTAAAATGACGGGCATAAAGCACCGGTAAGGCCTCCACATGACTTTTGTCCCCACGCTAGTATTTAATTCATGATTAGTGTTTTTGATAAAAATGTTAGCTTGATCGTACTTTGTTACCTAGAGCCAGATAAGTGAGTTTATTACGTAAAAACTACAGCTAACTTCTTTTTTTTATTGACCCAGACCATGATATAAGATCTCGATATACAGGATTAATTTATTTAATTAGCTTTAATTATGTGTTAACATATGATGTATGGCAAGTTAACAAGTTTTGACACAAAATCTTCGATTGCTACCTTTTAGACTCAAAGAAATGACAACTGGGGAAAAATGACTTGGGAGGGATTTTTTTTTTTTTTGGTGACCGGGAAGAATTATATTGCTCTGCCTCAAATTACCGGAGAAGGGGAATATCCAAATTTATACTCATGCCACTTTACGATTTGAGGCATTTGGGTAAAAATCATTTTAAAAGTAATTTCATGATATACTACCTCCGGTCCTTAATATAAGATCTTGTTTAACTTTTATTTTGGTGCTAAATATAAGACCCTAATCCACTTTGTTTCTAATATTTATACATTTTTTTAAATAGTTTTTCTAATAATGATAGTCCTAACTGATACACTTAATTAGTAAGATATTTTAGAAAAAATAATATCTATTTATTATAAATAACTAACTTAACTTATTTCTTTAATATCCTCAAATTAGTCAACTAGCTCTTATAATTAGGACCGGAGGTAGTATAAAATAAGTATGTGAGAAAAATTTTATCTCAATTTATATGAAAACACTTTTAAAATATAAACCAAATACTCCCTTGTAGCCAAGTAAAGTCAGCATATTAAGGGGGTGTTTCGATAGAAACCAAACCATAGTTTTAGAAGTGATTTTATGGTATGGTATATTAAGTAAATATATAAAAGAGTTTATCTTGATTTTAAAAAATATTTTTTAAATGTACTTCTCATGTCATCGCAGTAGGATCTATCTCTAGTCAACGTCTACGTGGCTACGCCCAGCTGTATGCCCAACATCCCGGTTCACAGAATATAAGATTGGATCTTCCCCGGGGGGGGTCGGAAGCAAGGCAGGGGATGGGGGTTACCTTGGTGCCGACATGGATGACGGGGACCAATGGATCCGGAAAGAGGCTTTTATTGGAGAGGAGCTATTCCATCCTAATTCTGATATAGGAGCTATCTTGCTAGATAATCGAATCCAGTTTTAGATATAAAATTTTTAGTTCATTTTGTTTATTATATTTTTTATTTTAAAAAATTAATTTAACTAATTTACAATCTAATGCTGTAGATGAATATTTAAAAAAATGATATCACATTTATTATAATTAACTAATTCACTTGATTTTCTAATTTACTCTAATTGCTTAAATAGTTTTTATCAGGAAAGTGAAGGACGGGACTTTTTTGTTTTTACTACATATGTGGTTCTTGAAGACAATGCTTAAAAGTTGTGTTTGATATGAAGTATTGAAAATTAGAGACTGAGATTGTGATTGTGATTGTGATTGAGAAAATCTATTAAAAGAGTGTTTAGCATAAGAGATTGCTTGTTATATGTAATTAATCATGTATGTGGAATTGGGGAATACCATGAGGGGAAGTGGTATTCTCCAATCCCACATCTATAAGTTTTTCTCCTATGGTATTTCCTAATCCCACCTCTATAAGTTTGTCTAATCTCATGTAAAAAGTAATTACTCATGCTTAATACTATTTTAATACTCTTCCGGTACTTATTATAAGACCCATTTGACTTTATTTGGTCCTAATTATAAGACCCCAATCCATTTTCTCTCTTATATTTATGCATTTTTTTCCAAGATAATCCTTCTAATAATGATAGTTTTAGCCAATATACTTAATTAGCAAGGATATTTTAGGAATGACAACACTTATTTATTATAAATAACTAACTTAACTTACTTCCTTAATCTCCTCAAATAAGTCAATTGGGTCTTATAATTAGGACCGGAAGAGTAATTTTTTAATTATAATTCTAATCTTAATCCCTTGTTTTTAATATTTCGTACCAAACGGGATCAAATGATTCAAAAGAAAAGTCGGGAAAAGGACATGTTAACTAGTGCATATCAAGGTCAGCCACATATACAAATAGGAGGAAATAAGAGTTATGGTGCGCTAAACTCGAACCAATTTTGGTACTCATTATTTTGATAAGTATTCTAAACTCATTAAATTTGAATCATCTATATCTGATTTGAACGGTCATAATTTGAAATCTTTAATTATTTATTTTAAATAGAAAAAAATATTTTTTGAAAAAATGATAATTAAAAAATTATCTTTATTTTATATTTCATTCATATTAAAATAATCATTATGAACAAATAAAATAAAAAAGAAATCAAACCATGACCACCCAAGTGCGACTTAAATGGTTCAGATATGAGAATTTAAAAAACTCATCACAACAATGAGCACCAAACTGATTTCTGTTAAATTGGATGATAAGAGTTCTGATTAATCTTCTAAATGAAACAGCCCGCAAAAGTGACAAAAAGTGCAATAAAAATAATTGAAGATAGCTTGGTGAAGAAATTGAGCTATTCATTAACGCTGTTGCTCAGACGATCAGTATTTCATTTGAACCATGTTTATTTTCATATTGGAACCAGTGACACAAGAGGGCAAGGAGCTCATCATGCTTTCCATTCATAGAATTAGCCTTGCGGCGATGCCTTCATAAATAGAAACCCCCACATGTCCAGCATGGCCATTTCTTACGCACCATTTTAAGTTAATATGTATGTGGACAAGTTTTTAAAGAAGCCGACATGTTTGTTCATTGATTTATGCACCCCGCGGCTAATATTAATAATACTCTTCTATCCTAAACATACATTCATTTTATAGTATAATTTATACTATAAAATAAATTTTATATTAAGAACTAGATGGGTATTACCTCAAATTCTAAATATATAAGTTAGTTTATGATGTAATTTACATACTACAAACTAGTTCTTATATTACTCTTCTGGTTCTTAATATAGGACTTAATTGTTGAGTTAGTTTTGATCTTAAATATAAGGTCCATTTTTCATATTTATTAATTTTCTCTAAATTACCTTTATGGATACTCTGTTAACCATAATCAAGTAGAAGAGAAAGATGGAATATTAAGAAAGATGATTATGGTATTTTAAGAAAAATGTGTCATATTTCTTATAATTAACTAACTTACCTAATTTTCTTAATATAATTAAAGTAGTTAAATAAATCATATACTAAAGACCGGAGAAGTATATTGATAGGCGGGTGTAGTAAAATAAAGAGGGGACCATGGAACATGACTTGACTAATGAGCTTATGCCATGTTGTTTTACACTAATTTCACAATCTGTTATCAGCTGTTTTCTTTCATTTGAGCATCGGGGGGAAAAAAAAAAGCACTCAGAAGGTCGGGCAATTTGGTAATTTTGAGGGATGATGAATTTTTCCCTAAGATTCTCAGCTGGGATCGATTTTACAATCTGGGCGGATGTGCAAGAACTCAACTCGACCGTTAATGGCTTTTATTATCGTTTTTCACCTGTCCATTTTGAAACTGCAGCTGGCAAAAGAAAAAAAACTATAAAATACTACATAGATTAAAAAAACTAAACAACCAATATGTTAATATCAAGAAAATTAATTAGATTATTTATTTATAATAATTTTTTAAAAATATTATTATTAATGATATGAATGGGAATAAAAATTATTTAACACATGAAATCACCATGAATATTATCTTAGTAAAAAAAAAAATATAACAAAATAAATTCAAGTATTATATTTAGAATTTAATTAAATATTTAATTAAATTATACTCTTCCGGTCCTTAATATAAGACCCATTTAACTAATTTGATTAGATTAAGAAGTTAGGTAAGTTAGTTAATTATAAAAAATGTGACACATTTTTCTTAAAACACTATAATCATATTTCTTAATACTCCCTCTCCCTCTTCTACACTTGATTATGATTGAGGGAGTATCTATAGGGGTAGTTTAGAGAAAATTGATAAATATGAGAAATGTGTCTTATATTTAGGACCAAAACTAACTCACCAATTGGGTCCTATATTAAGGACGGAGGAGTAATATTCATCCGTCCTTAATATAAAGCTCAATTATTGAGTTGGTTTTAGTCTTAAAATAAAACTCATTTATCATCTTTATCAATTTTTTCTAAATTACCATTATAAATACTCCCTCAATCATAATCAAGTAGAAGAGGAAGATGGGGTATTAAGAAAGATGATTATAATGTTTTAGAGAAAACGTGTCATATTTTTTTAATTAACTAACTTATATAACTTTCTTAATCTGAAAGGTGTTTGGGTGAAAATCATGTCAGAGATTCACAAAGCTAATATTCATTTATGAATAAATGATTGAGTTAAAGCGGGAGATAACTCGAGCGGCGCCCGGTGACTCGGACGCGGCTGCCCTTTTTCCCTCGTTCAGTTTTCACTCCCCTCCCCTGCCGTAATCCTGACTTTCCCCTCTCCTTCCGGATTTCACTTTTCTGGTATTGTCTCTCTTCCAGCCGACCTTACGGTTTTTGGTCAGTAGAAATTTCATAACTCACTGGATCGTAAGATTTTCTCTTTTTTTCAATTGAACAATATTTATTTTTTAAAAATCAATGTTAAGATGAACAATTGATTTGCCTAGGCATGGGGATTTCTTGTAGTTATCGTATTATACTACCTCCGGTCGTCTTACAATTAGGACCGGAGTTGCTAACTTACTGATTTTCCCGGGAACGAATGCTTGATGGTATACATGTGGTTGGATGGTGTTCAGGTGAGAGCCATTGCCTATTCTTCCCGTTGATCGAAGGTCACTTGCGATGGATTCGACTTCGTCGAGCCAGGCGGAATTCGATTATTTGTTTAAGTTGCTTATGATTGGGGACTCTGGAGTCGGTAAAAGTAGTCTGCTTCTGAGTTTCATCTCAGATACCTATGAAGATCTGTCCCCCACAATCGGTAGGTTTTCGCCTTTTCGGAAGCGAATTTACATTAATTCTCGGGTTGTCCCTTGATCTGTGTCATTTATGTTGTCCAGTCTCTTCATGATGAATCTAAGCTTATGCATTTGGGAATAAGCTGTAGTATCAGCGCGGGCTTAGCTCAGTTACCTGCTTTCTGATCCGAAATGTTTTTACTATAGTTTTTGGCACAGTCCCACAATAGTTAGGCTTTGTAGAAGCAAATTTATTTTAATTCTCTTGGCATGTCTTTTGATTTGTGGCTTTTGGGTATTCCTGCATCTTAGGTACGAATCAATAGCTAATGAATTTGAGAAGATGGTATCGTATTAGTGTAGACTCAGTTCACTCAACTGCTAAATGATCTGATTTTTTTCAACTATGACTCAGTTCACTCAACTGCTAAATGATCTGATTTTATTCAACTATATGTAGAGTTAGTATATGTTGTTTCCAATTTTCTGTGTTCAAATTTCTGAAGACCGATCGTCTGAACAAAGCATGTCTGTTTCTTTTCGCAATGCGTTCTAATATCACCTTTTTACTTACTCGGCAACAGGTCTGATTGTTATAATAAGATGATTTGGCTGTCGTGCCTAAAAAACGTGCTCACATCAGCCATGGATGAGCTGATCTCATATTTTAGCTTTTTTGCTTCTTGACTTCTTGTACTATTTGGCTGCTCATGTAGGTGTTGATTTTAAGGTCAAGTATGTCACAGTGGGGGGTAAAAGGCTGAAGCTGGCCATTTGGGATACAGGTAATATATGTTTATTCCTAGATCCCATGATGTTTGATTCTGTACATTTCAATCGAACTCCTTGCCTAGTTGTCCTAACTGCATTTTGACAACAACGCGTAACTATTTGATTGAAACTACTTGTTTGCTAATGTAGCCGGTCAGGAGAGATTCAGAACACTGACTAGTTCTTACTACCGAGGGGCACAAGGCATCATCATGGGCAAGTTTCTGTTATCTGATTTATCTCTAGTTTTTTCAGTCATTGCTCTCAATCATATATTTGTTGAATTGGATGGAATTTCGTGCACTCTTTTTCATTAGCAAGTTGGAAAGAAGTATGAAGTTTGCCTTGCTTATAAAAGTCAATCTATAAGGTTGAGAGGAAGTCTGGCACTAGTTATCTATAGTGCATAGTGCCATTGCTAGTGCTGAGGGCTCCAAAATGCTATAGTGCGTGGCACTTTCATTGCACCAGCTATTTGAAAATGCAGTGCATATCATTAGAAGGTTAATAATGACTGATATATTTAGAAAACCAACTCAGGCTGCATTCTTGGAATTTTGACTTGCTTTATATGGTTTAAATAGCCTAAATTGAAAACACCAAAAGTTGATGGAAGGCATGGAGTTTTTAAAGAAAGACATAGCAGGGGAAACAATGAT